TCTTTATTTTAATTTTATTTCTTTTTAATCCCTCATATTATATCAGATAATTTCCTCTGTTACTAAAAGTAACTTGATCCTTGTGAACTGTGAAACAGAAGCATTATTGACTTGTATAAATAAAAATGTATCTTAGGCCATGAACTACCACATGTATAGATGGTAATTTTTTAAAAATTTAAAAGCCAGCCAACCCCCCCCTAACCCCCCTCATCCCCCGCCCAAAAAAAATTTCTCTCACACATCTCTTACCTGCAGCCCTCCTACATGCAAAGAATGCAATATTCTCAAAATTAATGTTACAATAGCATCTATAAGGAATATAATTTAAGAGTGATCTTTGGACTTCGAACTCTTCTATAGTAAGAGAGGAGAGGGGTTTTCCAAACAACTTCCATCATATTAAAGCAAAGAGGCAACTGCCGAAGTAGATAAAAACCCATTCCATTTTTTTTTGTTCGTTCATTTGTTTGTTTGTTTTTTTTAAGTTCCTTCATGAATTTTTCACTCACACTGAGATGCCATCAACTGCCAGTGGAAGACTATATAATTTATTACTTTCCCATTCGGGTAAGTTTATCATGAAAACTAATATAATCTTTCCCGAGATGACATTTCACCTGCCCCGGGCAACGGGGTAGCATAATTCTATACCCCTGCCAACACACTTCTAAATTCCTAGCTCAAGGTAAGCCACCAACACACTTCTATATTCCTAGATTAAGCTTAGCCACCAACATACTTCTAACCCCCTATATCAAGCTTACATTCTAAATCTCTAGATTAAGCTTAGCCACCAACACACTTCTGACTCCCTAGATCAAGCTTAGCCACCAACATACTTCGAACCCCCTATATCAAGCTTACATTCTAATTCCCTAGATTAAGCTTAGCCACCAACATACTTTGAACCCCCTATATCAAGCTTACATTCTAACTCCCTACATCAAGCTTACATTCTAACTCCCTAGATTAAGCTTAGCCACCAACTCATATCTAACTCCCTAGATTTAGCTTAGCCACCAACATTTATAATCCCTACATCAAGCTAACATTCTAACTCCCTAGATCAAACTTACATTCTAACTCCCTACATCAAGCTTACATTCTAACTCCCTAGATCAAACTTACATTCCAACTCCCTAGATCAAGCTTAACCACCAACTCACATCTAACTCCTTAGATCAAGCTTACATTCTAAATCCCTAGATTAAGCTTACATTCTAACTACCTAGATTAAGCTCAGCCACTAACACACTTCACCCCTTAGTTTAAGCTTAGCCAACAGTACAAATAAGAAAAATATGAATATGTAAATTGTCTCTTATGAATATTATGTACATTATTCTGAGTTAGCAAATTTGACATAATTACAAAGTTTGAAAATTACCTTATATTTATAAATATCTGAAAACTAAACAAGTATTCAGCATTTAGATATGTTGATTAAATTCTGCAGTTTAATAACAGTGTAGCTGGTCAAAATCTAATTAAAAAATATATTTCAATTAAAAGAGTTGTGAACATTTTTGTCCAGATCTAGGATTTTTCTAATGCCAGGAATAAAATTCTTTGCTAATTTTCTCATTCCATGTTAAACACTAGTAAATTCTGCAGAGCTGTCTTCCCACACATTTTATACATGATATATACTTTTAATATCAGCCAGTGTCTTTTTATATATTCCTCCATGTTTTGTATCAAGCCGGGACAGAAAGACATCGATCAACTCTACAGGTTTGTTTCCCAGAATTCAGTCACTGTTTACATTAACCAAATTCTGTCTAGGTACATGTGTACTGATTAAGGTCATATTGTACATCAAGTTTACATGTAAATTAGTCCTCTCCTGTTAGTACCATTTCTACCTCCAGACAGAGGAGAATATGAAAAATAATTAAATCTACATGAATTACATTAACCTGCATCTTAAGGAGTCAATCTGATTCACTAAAAACAAAACCATGGATGCAAGAATGCAAGAATTACTACATTTATACAAACAATATAAATACATTATCTGTCCATAGTTGGACTATGTGTCAGTCTGATTCACTAAAAACAAAACCATGGATGCAAGAATGCACTCTTAATTTACTACATAAATACAAACAATATAAATACATTATCTGTCCATGGTTGGATTATGTGTCACACTTGGTTGTCTGTCTGTCTGTTCATAACTTTGTAGTCATTAATTTAATCAGATTCAATTCAACATTTTTGTTGTTAACTATAACATGTATTACATTAAATGCATAGAGCTCTAAAACTAAACTGAGGGCAGCTTGTAAACACACACAAACATACATGTAGTTTAGGGCTGTCAAATTTCCAATTTTTTTCAGGTCGGTTCTGTAAATTTTCGGTTCGGTTTCGGGTTTTTCGGTTCGGTTATTTACATCTATTTAAAACCTTAATTTCTTGAATTTAGCTTGAAAATTTTTTTTGTTTGTTACGTTAAATTCACCTTGAATACAAGCCTTAACCATTTTAATGACTTGACATGGGCGATTAGGACTACTAGGCCAACTATTAGCTACAACCTGACCATTCTTGCTTGTTTTGATAATTATCTAATCCTTTAGTGACAAGTGTTTTGTCATGGAATGACATTATTATAGAGGGGGCAAAAGCATAAGGTGGCTATGCTTTCTACAGTATACTATATACTGGCAAAATTATAAGAGGGAGGGGGCACTATGAGAGGGTTTATATACACTACAGTGGACTGCAATGCATATTAAACATGACTCAAACACCCCTGTATTTACAGTCAACAAAAAGCATTTGACATCACACAGCATTTCTGAGCTCACACAAACTTTCAAATCCAAAGTGTCAACCACCACTGCCTATAAATCACCATCACTGCTTATAGTTACTGTAAATACTCGCCTATAAGTCGGTTTTTATGGAGTCAAACTTTGGTCCAAAACTTTGTCCGACTTATAGGCGAGTCTTAAAAAGATTGGTATTTCAGAGGGACAAGCCCTTTAATATCGGCTTAAGAAATACAACCGACTTTAAGGCAGACGGACTTATATGCGAGTATATATGGTAACCACCATAATGCCTATAGATAACCACCATTGCCTATAGAAAACCACCACTGCCTATAAATAGCCACCACTGCCTAGTATAGATAACCACCACTGCCTATAGATCACCACTGCCTGTAGATCACCACTGCCTACATATTCCCACTGCCTATAGATCACCACTGCTTATAGATCACCACCACTGCCTTTAGATCACCACCACTACCTATAGATAACCTCCACTGTCTATAGATAACCACCACTACCTTTAAATAGCCACCATTGCCTAGTATAGATCACCGCCACTGCCTATAGATCACCACTGCCTGTAGATCACCACTGCTTATAGATCACCACCACTGCCTATAGATCAGTAAATATGCAAATATTACAGTTAAAACTCTTCATCTCTTACTCAATGGGACCTTGAAAAAATTTCCGAGATATCCAACAGTTTGAGATATTGAAGGTAAAATACATCAAGACAAAAGTGGTTGGGACTTCCAAATGGGTTGACTTTGACATACTCAAGGTATTCAAGATATCAATGTTCCAGATATAGAATTTCAACGGAAATTGATTAATGAATTGTTTGGAGTGGCGGTTTTTCCCCGGATGAAATGGTGTACTTAGAGCATGTACAACTGAGTATCCCTCCCGACTGAGGAGGAAATTACAGACAAACTGGATGCAAATAAAAATTCACACAACTAGATATTTAAAAATACTTACTTCTTTAAACCATGTATAATATATGCTTCTTAAGCTTCTCATAACAATTTACTGCTCAGAGCTTGTTAACTAATGTAAAGACTGTTACATAACAATGACCTTGAATACAGGAAGGACATCTGAGACGAAACGATAAATAAAAAAGACACTTGGAAAAGTTAAATGATCTTGTTGACATTTTACAATAGCAAGTCACTGATAGTTCTTAGTAAAATACAAAACAATACAAACCTTGTCTATTATACATGATTCTTCATCTTGGTATAAATAATCATATGGTGTTTACATGCAATGGTACTGAGAGAATTCAATGTTTGAGGGGGTTGGGGTTGGATATACAGGGTTCGACACTAACGTTTTTAGGCTTTAGTCCGGTCGGACTAGTGCTTCTTTACTTTTACTAGTCCGCACGCGATTTTATGAGTCCGTCAAAAAAAAAAAAAAAAAAAAAAAAAAAAAACCATCAATGTTTTTTAAGTACATGTATTAATTTAAAAATAAACATTGCAATGTACTTTTTAGACTTTTTTTAATAAACAAAGCATTAAATACGTGAAATGTTTTATTCCAAGATTCGTTGAAATCTCGCGATCGGGAACTACGATCTTGTTCCCGATCTCCTTCATTTTTTCTCAATACATTACATCCAAACGTCCGACATCTTTCTTTATATGTCATACTAAATTATGATCGCTAAAATGTTTAATTTCATACAAATCAGTCCTAAAATTGAGCACCGAATTGACTCGAAATTACCTAACTTCCCGCCAAAAAGTAGAGAAAAGCATGTGGTTTTCGGTGTTCAGGAGTTCTGAAATAGACCTTTTTGAAAGTTGTCGAGAATCCGAACATCGGTAATTTATTGATTTTTTTCCAGAAATTTTTATTGGTTCGTTCGGACTAATCAGCCACAGATTCTGTTAGTCCGAATGAAAATGTATTAGTCTGAGACTAACGGACTAACGTTAATGTCGAACCCTGGATATATTAAATCTCACATAAGTCTGATTTTATATATATTACTTTCTTTATACTATAATGTTCATGAAAACATCAGAATGGCTTTATTGACCCTTTTTGGTACAGGGTCCTGTACCCTTTTAATTGGGATTTAAATCAATAAAATGGCAAAATTTGGAAATATTTATGACATGTTATGTTAACTGTTGCTATGTAGCACTGAACTCGGGACTGTATGTACACACATTATAGCTTTAAATTACTCACTGATTAGCAATGGTTGCACTCTAACAAAACCTCATCCATTCCATGGTGCATTTTGTTCCAAATCTTATTGTCTGGAAAACAAAAACAAAACTGCCATCAGCTATGAGATCCATGAAAAAACATGATAATACACATACTTGTATTCAATATGTTTGACAAGACAACCATTGGGGCAAGCGCTGTAGTGTAATTATTGCTGAAACCGTAGCTCAAACCGCACAAAACTCAGTCAAGACTGTGACGTCACATGACGTGCAAAGTATTAACAAGAGGCCCATGGGCCACAATACTCACCTGAGTTACTTTGGCCCTGCTGTTCTTCACCAGACCCCCCCCCCCCTGTTAATACTTAATGCGGCCCTTCCCTATCCCCCGGGGGCCATGATTTGAACAATTTAAAATCTACACTACCCAAGGATGCTTCCACGTAAGTTTCAGCTTTTCTGGCCCAGTGGTTCCTGAGAAGAAGATTTTCAAAGACTTTTTGACATATTTCAATGTAAAATTTTGATTCCCTATTGTGGCCCTGCCCTACCCCCTGGGGCCATGATTTGAACAATTTAGAATCTTCACTACCCAAGAATGCTTTCATATAAGTTTCAGCTTTTCTGGCCCAGTGGTTCTTGAGAAGAAGATTTTCAAAGATTTTGCCTATACATTTCAATGTAAAACTTTGATTCCCTATTGTGGCCCCGCCCTACCCCCTGGGGCCATGATTTGAACAATTTAGAATCTTCACTACCCAAGGATCGTCTCATATAAGTTTCAGCTTTTCTGGCCCTGTGGTTCTTGAGAAGAAGATTTTTTAATGACCCCACCCTATTTTTGTCTTTTCTTGATTATCTCCCCTTGTAAGGGGACTTGGCCCTTTATTTTAATAATTTAAACTCCCCTTCACCCACGGATACTTTGTACCAACTTTGGTTAAAATTGGCCCAGTGGTTCTTGAGAAGAAGTTGAAAATGTGAAAAGTTTACAGACGGACAGACAGACGGATGCGGGACAACAGGTGATCAGAAAAGCTCACTTGAGCTTTCAGCTCAGGTGAGCTAAAAAAGTGTATTTAGTCTACTATCTTTCTGCAATTTCCTTAAAGTAAGGTAAGTTTCTGACTTGTGAACTTTTGTTTGATTATTGAAAGAACATTATAGTTCAAGTAGCCATATGCAATTTGTGGAGGATTGTGGGTACAAGTTACTGGGGGAAAAATTTTATTGGATGAATGTGCAGTAGTCCAAATTTTCACTTCGCTCAGGCATTGTCTTAAGAGCTCACTCTATAATTCCTAATTCAACTTTAGAATCCCTAATGCAAAGGATGAAAGACTGTTGGGAAAATATGACTTCTCTTATATATTCACTGTATGTTTAATTACACCCATGATTTACAAAAATAATTTGAATAGATGAATTTTTGTCAGATGTATGGAAGTGAACATGAGATTCATAAAGAAATAACTGAGATTTTTTTTTTTTAAGGTTTAATATGTACACAATAGTTATTTGTTCCTTTCTTCATATTATTGTTTCAGTTTTGAAAACAATTTAAAGGAGACTTCAATAGGTGTTGACACAGATACACCTGCATTAAATCAGAACAGGTTTTAAAATGATATCAAGGTTACGTAGAGTGGGTGAAGAGCAAGTGTGCAACACACTTTCCAGGCAAAGAGATAAACTGAGTGTGCACATGTGTGAAGACATTTATGAGAATTACCAAAAATTACCAGATCTGTATATTTTAAAGGTCATATGAAACAATGCCCTGAGCATTTTGGGTTGTATACGGAAATGAGTTCATCTGAGCAACTTTAATAAGCCTGCAATTATCATTTTGGATTTTTTATGCAAGTTGGCGGCAGCAGAGCCGATCAAAATTACTTGACTGCAAAAATGAACTTCAACTAGCGCGGCTTATCTCCCTTTGTTTATGACATTAGTAAGACCCAGTCACTACATTCAGTACTAACATTTATACAACGGATCATGTCTTTTGCAGCGTAATTTTTAAGAAATATCATCATCTTGGCTAAAAACCTCACATTAAACACAATTCTATCTATGTTATCCTACTTTTCTGTGTGAATATATTTACAGACCGAATTGTTTAAATTTGTATCAGTTTATTCTAACACAGAATATATAGCCTGATTTTAAAAAAAATGTTTAACTGTAAAAATATTACTTTGAAAAATTGTTCAGGTTCAATCGCGCAAATAATGGGGGTATGGATTTTTTTAACTGATCAATTTGTGCACGAACTGTATAAGTAATTTCAAACTGCAATTGCTCAGCCAAACTGTTAGAAGTATCAGTACCGTAACATTACAGTGCATGTATATACATGTACATACTCATGATGCCGGTAATTTTGAGCCATTTTCTAAATCATGTTTCTTGTGAGAGCAAAATTACGATGATGTTGTCATAAACCCCTATTTCTATATCATTTTTACATTAGCCCTCGTGTTTCAGATTGCAGAAAGCGTGCATTCAAAGACGCAGACTTTTCATTGCTCCATGTTTATCATGAACTTCAATATCTCCGTGTTTATTTGGGAAAAAAGGGGTACCCTTTTCCCTCTCAATATATGCAGTGATTTTTCTACACCCATTGTAGGTCTGAATATCGGCCCTTTCCCCTATCAAAAATTACCGATTTTTTCCCAATTTCATTTGCTTTTTTCCCAAAATAAAACCTTTCTTGTTTTTGTTATATTGAAATTTTTTTATGTTGGACTTATCTAAAATAGAACACTATTGTTCTCGGTCAATAATAGTGAAGAACAGCTGATTATTTTGTCCATTTACAAGACATATTTTATTTATTTTATTTTACCTGTCAATTAAGGTTAATTTCAATCTTATTAATTTTTCCCAATTTGACACAAATGTCGACAATTTTTCCCAATTGTAAAGCCCAGGCCCCTTTTAAAAAGTGTAGAAAAATCACTGATATGACACAACTTTGTTTTACAGATTTTGGCCTAATTAACAATTAGTTCAAATAGAGTAAACTGTACTTTAAAATCAGATAGCTCATCTAAAAACATAATCACATTTATATCCAAAAAAAGTGACTAAAATTAACTCGATCAATAAAATACAGTAAAATTACACTATATCTAATGCGTTATTTACATCAATGGGTCTTTGTGATGTCATAAAAACACAAAATCAAGAACGATAAGCGGGTAACAAATTCATTAAGTGGACAAATTTAGGCCTTCATTTTTCAGTTAAGTAAAGGCAAAATTTCTTTACTAAACGTAAATTGACATTCTTTCATACTAGTCTTTGTGTTTAAAGAGTAAAATCCTACTGTTATGAACAGTTTCATATGACCTTTAACAATCAATATCAATTGATACCAGTGTTTTTTGCTTGTTTGTTTGTTTGTTGTTGTTGGGGTTTTTTTGGGGGGGAGTATATTTGCTTAGGGGGAGGGGTGGCAAAGCTACAGAAAGGGGCTTGAGCTTGAAAGTCACGGTTATGAGTGTAAAAGGTTAGTAATTTAAATACATTTAAATAATACTTAATAGTTCTACATTTTCTATTTATGCTTTAATCAAATTCTTCCTTTCCACCATTTGAAGCAAGTGTACCCCAATTTAAAGTATGTTGCATTCATTCTAAAGTTTTCTTCAAAACTGTTTACCATACTAAATATTTCATAAAATGTAGTGTATAATTTTTCTATGTATACATATCTTTAGTTCAAGAGGTGTTGCACTAAATATCATCTGATATTATAAATTCATTTCATAAACCCTTGTAGTTGAACAGACGACTCAAAAGTTCACAAAAACACTTTTCATTAAATCATGAATGGTTAGATGACAATATTCACACTGCTTTTAAATGCAGACATTCTTTGCCAATTGACATATCAATTTCTGAAAGAATAAAAAAACTACTAAATATAGGAGAAGTATTCCTCACATTTATTTACCATATTTATGTGTAGCTGATGTATGTTTACCCTGAATTCGAAAAAAATGTTATTTTCTATTGATTCTCCTAAAGTATTTAGGGCCTGTAGTCTTCAATCATTCGGTTGTAATACTTCCATTGACATAAATGTGTATTTACCGACATGTCATTATAATTACACCAAAATTATAACTTTCTCATGCGTCATTCGGTTAAATTCCAGTGCTATAAGAGCAAGTCATAACACAACATGTGTTCTACTTAAATTACACAGTAGACTGGCACTTCCTACCATAAAAATACATATATATTGACTTCCACGTCAGTTTATGAAGATTCTGTGTTAGGTTTCAGCGTAACAGAGTCAATATCCCTATCGCCCCCAACTATACAGGTCATGGACACTCAACATTCGCCATTTCTAAACACAGTCTTCGACAAGCCATACTTGCGGTTCATTTGGTTGTGTTTTCCCAATACTGAATAAATGAACAAATCTGTAAAATAACTGACATGTCCCATTCACTAAATTTGTCCCCTGTATCAAGAAAATATTAAAATTTCCAACTTACGTCCAATGAAGAAAACTTCAACATCCGGGCATTTGATTAGTAACCATATCGGGATCAAGGTGAAGGTCACACATCTATTATCAGATTATCCGCTGTTCATTCTGTACTGAGTGTAAAGGCTGTTCGAGTGTTTGCTAAAACTTATCTTTATAAAAAAACTGTTCACTTCACATAGAATTCTAATAATGTTGACGGAAGAACCTAGATCTGATGTCCACATAACTATTATGCAATCAGGTCGTACGTATTATCATTCGTGTGTTGCATGTGTTATGACCTGAAGTTCATTGACACTATTTGACGCCTCTCAGTCAGGTCCATTTGGTTAAGATTACCGATGATCGATGATAACATGCATTCAGGCGCTGACAACCCTTACAATGATAAAATGGCGTAAGATTTCTCACTTCACTGTTTACTGCAGACACAATTTCAGTTATTACAAGGGGCGGATCTAAGACCATCTGGACTGAGCAGGGGAGTAATATGGACGTGCCACTGTACTAAGTGTTTGATCCATCACCAGTTCTAGGTTTTAATAACACAAATTGCTATTTAGTAGCATAGTTTTTGTTATCGGGATAACCATATTTAGAAGATTAACTTTACACATATAAAAATTTCTGATAATGAAATCGAAATATTTTAAAAAATGTTAACTGCGGAAAGGTTACAAAGGCCGAGAAAGAGTTATGTGACGTGTTGCCTACAAAATTAGAATGTGAAGAAGCTGTTCTTAAAATGAAAAATAACAAATCCCCTGGTCGAGATGGCTTAACAGCAGAATTCTATAAGGTTTTTTGGCATGATATTGTAACGTGTTTATCTGAACATATCTTAACCAGGGTTCTTTTTAAGGGATCTGATTTTCCTCGTACTCTGAGTAAAATGATTAGGCGATAATAATTTTCCTTAACTCTTTCTGAGTATAATGATTCTGTATATATAATTAGAAGACAATTAAACTATCAGAGGTTTTACCGGATGCTATAGTATTTTTAAAGGACTAAACGTGACTGGGTAACCCGTCACCGCGTATTCTTGGTATAAGGGTTCCTATTAATATAGTGAATCAGGCGCCTCGATCTAATAAGATTTACTACCTCCTGAAACACAAATTAATTCCCAAAATACCACTACCGCTGGTGAGCTATTATAAATTCCTACCCTAGCCCTACGTCTTCTATTCTTTTCGTCTTCTAATCGTACTTTGCAAACTTCACAGCAATTCTCTCTCAGCTGCCCGCTGCACTGACTTATATACCCTTAGAACAATCTATTTCCAAAGGGGTGTCAGGTTTTTCCATTTCATGGGGGTGTTCCATTACGTTTCTACTACGTTTCACTACCCACACCTCTGATTTCGTGCGTCCCGCACATCAATCAACAACAATCATATTTTTTTTTTTTGGTTTATAAATTATTTATTTATTTACAAGCTATATTTAAAGTAACTATCTGTTACAACCTGCATAATAAACATGCGAGTCCAGACCAGACCAAACAAACATCTGTATGTCATTGTGAAAAGTGCAAAAATCAATCAGTTAATCATTCCAGATGTCCTCCTCCAAACGCTCTACTATCTCACCATCCTTCTGAAATTTTCTTGTGACCCTGATTATTTTCTGATGACTCTTTATTCCTGCCTTAGCTGCTGCATCGACTTTCTTGGCTTTCTTCTTACAGCAAAAACGTGTTGGCCATCCAAAGGCGCCTTTTGGACATTGGAAACACTGTCGCTAGGTTCCACTACCTCTTCAGTTGTAGGCAAGTCTTTGTTCACGGTTTCTGAGACACTAGTATTTCTTCGCTTAATCCCTGGTAAAACTGGAGACGTCTTCTTTCGATACGTTCTTCCGGCTTCTATGTCCACTTCTTCAAACAGAATCCATCTATAAATTGTAATAGCTGCACAGGCCTATAAAAGATCGTACCTCACTTAGTCAATTGGTACCGGCCACTTTTCCACAACAGCTACTTTCTGGGGATCTGTTTGAACTCCGTCACCAGATACCTTATAGCCAAGAAACAAAACTTCCTTTTTAAACAAAGTGCATTTTGCAGCTTTGAGTTTTAGACCTGCTGATTGCAACTTTGTAAATACTTGTTCTAAGTTTTGAAGCGTTTCATCAAATGTTTTACCAAAGATAATAATATCATCAATATATACCAAACATATAATGAAATTTAGTCCAGCCAAAACTACTTCCATGAGCCTTTCAAACGTTGCTGGACTGTTACATAGTCCAAACGCATTACAGTAAACTGGAAAAGACCATTTCTGGTCACAAATGCGGTCTTTGGTTTATCAGGCTCGTTCATTTCGACTTGCCAGTAGCCCGAGTGAAGATCTAACGTACAAAACCAAGACGCTCCTTCCAGCCGATCTAGGGAATCATCAATGCGCGGTAAAGGGTAGGCGTCCTTTACTGTTTTACTGTTTAAGGACCGATAATCAGCACAGAACCTTTTTGTGCCGTACGTCCTTTTTCTCAACAAGTACAACCCCAGCAGCCTATGGACTAGATGAGGGTTCTACGATGCCTTTATCAATCATGTTTTTCACCTCTTGATCAACGAATTCCGCAGCATGATGCGGTAACCTTCTGGGTGGTTGCTTGGTTGGTTTTTCTCCTTCTGTATTAATACGGTGCTTTATCAATGATGTTCTTCCAAAGTCATCTTTGCTCTTTGAAAAAATTTGACTGAACTTGATAAGAATACTTTTTACTTTAGTCGCCTGTTCCTCTGATAGATCAGTTTTTGTTCTATCAAATAAATCGTTCAAATGCTCAGGAAGGGTTTCTTTGTTTTCCCCGGGCATAACATTATTAACAATACCTTCCTTTTCAGGCAGAATTATTTCTCTTACCGGGGATGTCAAGCCTATCACTGTGTTCTTGAAGATTGTCTGGGACTGACTAGATATGTTCATCAGTCTAACGGCCACTTTCCCAGATGAATTGACAAGGAATCTAGCTACCAAGGCTCTTCCACTATCCTGAAACTTAGCATAAGGTTCAATTAACAATGGTATCTGTGGTAGTTTTGGTAGGTCCAACACTCGACCCGGACATACCATTTCGCTTCTAGGAGGAATGGATATGTTTTCACACAGACTCACGCGAAAACAACCGATATTTCCTTGCAGTTCTAATTCATGTTCTACCCCATGAACATACATCTTGGTCTTACATACATCGACAAGACATTGGTTTGTTTGTAAGAAATCTAATCCTATAATGCCATCTGCTTTGATGTTTGCTATTACTGCCTGAGTCGTAAATTCCTGAGAACCAAGTCTAATGCAGAATAATCCTTTCCCTTGTACAGTAAGAGGTGCACCATCAGCACCCACAATTCTCTGTGTAACTGGTGAAAGTCCAATTTTACCCGTTTTGTCTAGTTCAGCATACAGTTGATCTGATAGAATAGTCAGAGTGACCCCAGTATCTAACAATAGGTTACACTGAGTGCCATTTACCATCGCCTTAATAAACAACCCAGATTCCTGGATGTCTTGGTCAACTTTCAATGAGGTTGTGCTGGAAACTATCGAACAATTTTTCTTCTGGGAATCTGTATTTTGTTTTAGACTGGTTGAATTCTTCAAGTCTGATTTTCGCATCTTAGTTTCATCCTGATTGTTTTTCACAAAACAGTCTTTGATCATATGGCCTTTTCTTCGGCAATTGTGGCATTTGAAAGGAAATTTGCCTTGCTTGCTTAAATAACTTGAAGTGGTTGACGTTTCTTTTGTCGAGACATTAGACATTTTCTTTTCTATATCTTTAAGAGAAGCCTGTATTTCATCTCTCAATTGTCTTAGTTCTTCCCTGACACTCGAGTCTTGTTGAGCATCAGGTGTCACTTGGTTTTTGATTGTGTTCCTGACATATCCACCATCTCCTCTTCTCTGGCGTTCTGCTCTACAGCAAACCGTACAGTATCATTTAATGACTTTGGTCGTGATTGTTGAATGCGAAGGCGCATATCAAAATCGGCCAATGCGTCTACAAACTGATCTTTGGCTATCATCACAGTAACTTCTCTGGGAGCCGTTGGATAGGCGAGATGTGCCAATCGTCGAATGCTTTCACCAAGTTCTGGCAAAGATTCACTTGGTTTTTGACATTTTTCACTAAACATAGCTCGACAGAGTTCAGTTTGATTTGCAGGTGCAAATCTTGACTCTAATGCGTCACACAGCTCCATATAGGTTCTATTTGCACCTGGTCGCATATTGCCAAGGACAGTTTGAGCCTGTCCTCTTAAAGAGGCTGCAAGGTACAAACTTTTCTGTTGTAAGTTCCAGGAGTTGATATCGCTACATGCTTCAAAATGGACCTTATAATCTATCCAATACCCAGATAAAGCATACGTTATAGGTTTCATTACTGTTTTGCCGTATGAATACTCCTTGGGCCGTGCACTTGGATCATTCTTACTCAAATCAAAAGTAGGTAAATGTCTGTATACTGGTTCCTGCACTGGATTCTGGTTGTATGACCAAGTAACTGTAGAGGAAGCTGATGAAGATACCGCACACCTAGTGTTCAAGGAAGGACTTGGTGTCAAATGTGTCTCGGTAAAACCTTGTTGTCTTATTGTACCAAATCGCGGCAGCTTATTTTCTGTATCCCTCTGTAAAGTTCGATCTACGATCTGTTTATCTTCATACAGTGTATAACCAGGCTCTGGATATCTCATGTGTCCAAATGCATATCCTGTGTTACTTGGTGTTCTGTAATTTAATACATCTAAACTGTTGTCTGGGTTTTTGTACCTAACATCTACTTTGGAATCTGGTACCACTGAAGACTCGGTAGTCTGAGGAGTAGATCGTAATTTTTCTATTTCTTCTCTGAGCTTTTCCCTTCTGGCATCTATAGCACTGAGGTCAGCTAACAATTTGTCCCCTCTATCACACATTCTTATATTATTTGTTACCTGGTTTTCTGTATTCTATAACTGCACTAGGTATATGTACTTGGTAAACTTTACCAAGTAAAACACAATACCAAGACTATAGCAAGCCTAGCTATATATCCGGTAAAATACACACAGTCTCTAAACTTGGTAAAAATAAAATGCACAACAATACTACAATACTAATTTCTCTACAGAATCAAATTAAATCAGTATTTTTATCCCTTAACCAGCTGCCACCAAAATGTAACGTGTTTATCTGAACATATCTTAACCAGGGTTCTTTTTAAGGGATCTGATTTTCCTCGTATTCTGTCTGAGTAAAATGATTAGGCAATAATAATTTTCCTTAACTCTTCCTGAGTATAATGATTCTGTATATATAATTAGAAGACAATTAAACTATCAGAGGTTTTACCGGGTGCTACAGTATTTTTAAAGGACTAAACGTGACTGGGTAACCCGTCACCGCGTATTCTTGGTATAAGGGTTCCTATTAATATAGTGAATCAGGCAAATACCACTACCGGTGGTGAGCTATTATAAATTCCTACCCTAGCCCTAGTCTTCTATTCTTTTCGTCTTCTAATCGTACTTTGCAAACTTCACAGCAATTCTCTCTCAGCTGCCCGCTGCACTGACTTATATACCCTTAGAACAATCTATTTCCAAAGGGGTGTCAGGTTATTCCATTTCATGGGGGTGTTCTATTACGTTTCTACTACGTTTCAATATAAAGGAAATATTCTTTTCCTCCTTACTTAAAAGTATTGATGATGGTATTTTGCCTTTTTCGCAAAGAAATGCTGTGATATCCCTGATATATAAAAAAGGAGAAAAAGAAAATCTTCAGAACTACATACCAATTAGTCTTACAAACGTTGATTACAAAATTTTTGCTCATGTTCTAGGTAATCGTTTGCAAAAAGTTGCTAGTAGAATAATTAGTAGTGAACAAAGTGCTTATATTAAAGGTAGATACATTAGGGAGAACACGAGAATAATATTAGACATATTTGAATATTGTAACAATAATGATATTGATGGTATTTTGCTCTTTCTCGATTTTGAAAAATTTTCGATTCTGTTGAATATAACTTCATGTACTAAACTCTAGAAAAATTTGATTTTGGTGAAAATTTTATCAAAAATTTTATCAAAATGATAAAAAACATTATATTCTAAACCAATTTTCAAAGTCAAAAATAATGGCTGGATGTCAAAATCATGTGAAATGCAAAGAGGGATTAGACAAGGCTGTCCTATGTCAGCACTTTTATTTATTTTTGTGCTAGAAATACTAGCAGTTCAGCTTAAAAATAATGAAGAAATCATCGGTTTATCGCCAGGTGATAACGGAAATTTAAAAATCGTACAACATGCCGATGATTGCACTAATTTATTGAAAGACACTTATTCATTGAAAAAAGCTTTAGAAACAATATGTGAATTTAGCAAAGTCGCAGGCCCGAAATTGAATATGGACAAAACAGAATGTTTATTGACAGGAAAAATTGTTGAAATATATTTAAATGAAAAATATATTTGTGGTGTTAGAATTGCTAAAAGTCATGTAAAATCATTAGGTGTATATCTCGGTCATGATAAGGATATCTGTTATGATATGAATTGGACAAATAAATTAGAGAAACTTGAAAGAATACTGAGTATTTGGAGAAGGCGAAACTTCACAATCTTCGGAAAATGTACCATAATAAATACACTAGCATTATCTAAATTGGTATATAATGCTTTTATTTTGTCAAATCCAAAAAATGAATTCTTTAAAAATGTATCAAAACTTGTATTTAATTTCCTATGGGAGAAAAAAGATAGGATAAAGAGAAATACGCAAATTGGTAAAGTTGACCAAGGTGGAATAGGTATTGTTGATGTAGAGAGTAAATTTACTGCAGCGAAGGCTTCTTGGATAAAACGAATACTAGATAAAAGAAGTATAATATATAAAATGTTGAATAATATTCTTAATCTTAAAAACCTGTCAGTTAATGATATTGTTAAAACAAGTGTATGTAACTTTGAAAATACTGTTTTTTTTAAAGATGCTAAGAATACCACTTTTTTTATGGTGAAGTCCTTTCTGCTTTCAATAAATGTATTAAAAAAAAGTTAAACAAATTTGTGCTTTAAAGAGAGACCAATTTTTATCGGAATTCATTTGGAACAATAATCTGTTTCAGTATGATTCTAAACCTCTTTGTTTTGAAAACTGGATAAAAAGTGATATTCTGTATAATAAAGATCTTTTTGATAATGATGGAAACTTCCTTAGTATTGAACACTTTTATAATATACTGGAAAAGAAAAACAATATACTCTGTGAATATATCATGATAAAGAAGGCACTAAGAGAATACAAAAACAAGTTTGATCGTACATATGCAAAATTTGTTAATATTAAAAACGATGTGTCATTTTTATTTAGAGATAATAGTGTAAGAACTGTAGCAAACCTTAAATGTGATTTTTATTATTCAATTTTGGTAAACATAAAGTTTCAACGATCAGTTTATGAAAATATGTGGCAAAAGACTTTTGATCTTAGTTACAAATATGTCTGGAAAAATGTATAAGTATATGTATGAAAAAAATGTTGCTGATTTCAATTATAAATTATTGAATTGCATATTGAATAATAATTTAAATGAATAATATATTGTCTTTCATTTGTTTTACCATTTATAAAAATAAAATGAAATGTAGATTTCAAAACATGTATAAGAAGTTTTTCGAAATAAGATAAAAAATTGTCTTTGTTTACAAAACGTGATTCTAAGGAAAGCACATATGTAATTAATGATAATTTGTATCTAGAAGTAGGCAATTATTTGTGATTTTGATTTATAAATTTCTAAGCAATGTATGTATTATGATTTTCTGTACATTAAATTATTTATGTACCATGTTTTAATAAAAGGGGAAAAAAAACTTTACACATAGAAATAATTATTTAGATATTGTTACTTGAAGGCGAGGATCCAGGAATGTTTTCAAGGGGGAGGGGGGTCCAACCCAGTCAAAAAAAATCCAACCCAGAAATTTATTGACAAGCAAAAAAAAAAAATAAAATTGTAAACTCCTTTCCCATGTTTCCCAAACTCCCAAATGTGAAACGCCTATTTCGTGGGGTGGGGAGGGTGGAGGGGCATAGCCGCTCACAGCTTCATATTCACGACTTTTCATACCAACTTAACAGGGGCCCGCGTTTTCGGGGGGGGGGGGGGGTCTACGGTCACTTTTAGTTAATCTGAAAATTCCGGGGGGGGGGGGCGGACCCCCCGACCTCCCTCTAGATCAGCTCATGAATCGGTGCATACCTCTTGTTCGTGCACGATATTTGTTAACCATATAATGGGAGACGACTAAGACGGTTCAACCAGCTCGCGACAGACTACACACACATCCGCTGTTCTAGTTTCACTTTCATCTCTCGTTTTTCAGGACCAAATTAAAAGTCGTTCATCAATATATATTTTTAATAGCTCTGCAAATTCCGGGGGGGGGGGGGCGGACCCCCCTCCCCAACCCCCCCCCCTTTTTTAGATCCGCGCATGAAGCTGCACTGTAAAGCAAAAAAAGACTGCACAATGAAAAACAAACTTAAGGTCGTGTCTACACTTTCGTTGTTATCGAACATGTCAAGGTCACGCCACTTGTATTTCTAGTGTAAGCTCGTACAAAAAAAAACATTAAATTAAGGTGAGAAATATACGAAAGCCCATTTAGGACCTATCAAAAAATATTTTTTTATTCGATTTAACGGATTGTCGAATTTGTTATAACGAATTTAATTCGTTATAACAGTTTCTTTGAATTCGTTATAATGAATTAAATCTGTTATAACAAATTTGTTAAATTCGTTGTAACGAATTCGAAAATTTGTTATAACGAATTAAATTTGTTTTAATTATATAACGAATTCTGAAACTTGTTATAACGAATTAAATTCGTTAAAACGAATTCTCTAATTTGTTATAACGATTTCGACAAATCGTTATATCGAATCCATACATATTTTTTCTGTAGGCTCTGATTGTTGAATTTGATTTTACGAATTTAATTCTTTATAACCAATTTTTGAATTCGTTATAACGATTAAAATATGATATAACAAATTTTAGAATTCGTTGAATTTTTTGAATTCGTTATATAACGAATTCAACAAATTTGTTATAACAGATTAAATTTGTAATAAAGAACTCAAAGAAATTGTTATAACGCATTAAATTCGTTATAACAAATTCTACAATTCGTTATATCGAATTCGAAAAGTCGCCCGCGTGGCGCAGTGGTTAGAGCGTCTGCTCTAGAGTCGCGAAGTAAGGATTTGATCCTTACGTCGCGGGTTCGAATCCCACTGTGGGACGTGGAGACCGGTCCTTCGGATGAGACCGTATAAACCGAGGTCCCGTGTCGTAGTAGGTGCTGGCACGAAAAAGATCCCTCACTGCTCAATGGCCGTAAGTGCCGATTATAGGACAAAATTTGCAGCTCTCCACCGGCAAGTGGTGGCGTCTCCATATGAGTGAAAAATTCTCGAGAGGGACGTAAAACAAAATACAATCAATCAATCGAATTCGAAAATATTTTTTGACAGGTCCTTAATGGGCTTCCGTAGAAATATGTTCTAAAAATCTTTTTATCGGCCGCAGAAGTGGCCGATCTATTTGTGGTTGTGTTAGAATGTGCACATGGGTAAATGAGACGTTATTTTTTTTATTGCTTCGTTGGAATTTTTCCTTATTTATAACAAACACAAAAGTTAAGAATAAAAGCCGCTTGAACTGCTCCCTTACATGGGCGTGCATAAGATATAAAAAGAAAACGTATTGAGTTTCCGGATTTGAATAACGATGTCTAAAATAATTAATGAATTGGAATAAGAACTGAATTTGTTTTGAATTAGTCTAAAAAAATGCACAGAAAAGTAAAGCAAGTGTAAAAATGTATCATATACCTTTTCTTTTTTGGATTTTTTTTCTTTGGACTCTTTCTTGTGGAAATTCTCCAAAATGAATTTTTTTTGCGGCCGATTCGATGCTTCGCATCAAATTAACTTGTATAAGATAGTATTAAAATTCTTGGTCCACCGACATTTTTTTTGGGGGGGGGGAGGGTGGGGGGGGGGTACTTACATATGTACTTCTCTCAAGCAGGGATGTCCCATTTACTAGGTGGAGGGAGATTGTTTATGATTGGACTAGTCCACTGATGGGATAACAGGAAAACAAAATAGCAAGAATAATCAGCAAACCCATTGCTTTAGTGTTGCCTGTCCATATACAATGTGTTTTTTTAATGAGATAAAATTTGCAGTTAATAATGTAAGAGGGAGAAAAATTTATATTTAAAATTTTATTATTTGTTAATATATAAAAAAAATAAGTATTGTATTTTTCGGGATTTGAACCGGGGGACTTTTCCTCTGGGCCAAGTAGTTTTTCCACTGGACCAGCGTGGTTTGTTTACATTGTATTATTTCACATAACATTGGAATTAGCATGGGATTTAAATTTCTAGTATTTACTGAAAAGATTTATTTTTTTATTAATTGTCATTATCTTCCGTTCTTATTAAAAGTAATGTTGTATTATGAAAAGCTCTGAAATAATTGTAAATATTTTTTTGTGATGTCACATGATTTATATTCTGTTGCATGCTGGTCATTTCTTGTGCTTTCCTAGCCATTGTTGGCAGCAAGTTATCAAGAATGAATATTCATTAATGATCCAGATGGTGTAATATGCTGTAAAGTGTAAACGTCACATATGCCCCTTGCTTAGGAAACATTGTCAACTTATTTCTATGTGGAATAAAGAACCTTGAACACAATCACCGTGTTACAATAAAAAATCTGAAGCTTAAAAATCAGGTTAAAAGAACAAACTTTTATTTATTTCCATAGAAGGTATTTGTTTAAATGCAGGTAACAAATCCCGATGTAAATCAGCTTGCACAAAATCTAGCTCACTAAGTATGATCGCTTAGTTTCGAAACATGGAAATTTTTATCCTTATACTCCCTGACGCACGTTGCGTCAGGCAATGAAAACTTCATAGATTCGAATGCCACAGCAAGAGACTTTTTTCATGGACTTAAAGTTTTTCAATAAATTCAACAAGTCCGGTAATAAGTACCAATGGGAATTCCAACAGACTGTTGGAAGATCTGGTCTCTGAAGACTGCATAGATTTTGTCAACGAGAACTCAAGCATCTTGTTAATGTCAATCTCGTAGTGCTTGTGTGTTTAGAAACAGAATAGATTTTGACAAAGTAAGTTTTAATTAGACCAATGACTAGAAATGAAAATTTGCAATTTCCGTTTTTATTGGAGAAGCTGTTGTTTATTATGTCAACAAGCCTGGTTGTGGGGAATGATTGTATAAAGTATTGAAAATCATGCCTCTTGATGCTATTGATTTTCACAAACTTTTATGATTTCCAAATTTTTAAATCTTTTTTTTTAATATCCAAGTATGATTTACATTACAACACTTCTCGCATATTTTGTTGTACAGTACTGTATTTATGTTTTTGTAAGGAGTAATGATAAAGGCTTGGTTTTTTCACACAGGAAAATATACGATACATATTAGCTATATTTCTAGTATGATCTCGTTTTATCTTTAACTATAACTATATAACGGTGTCGTTCTCTTTTGTATATCGGTGTCGTATGAAATATGGAGATAACGAACAGTAATCTAAACAATACAAATCGGGAGCAGAGCAAACACGACCTCTAAAAAACATCAGAGCTGGGATCAGGTGCAATGGAGGAGTAAGCATCCCCTGCCGACCGGTCACACTCGCCATGTGCTCCTTGTCATGATCAGGAAAACGAAAAAATCCGTAGACAATGCAATGTGTAAGAAATGGCCTAACAAGTATGAAAAGTATGAAAAGTATGAAAAACGTCAGTCAGGATTCGACTTAATGATATTAGCTGACAAGGTCATTGCATCAACCATAGAACATGCGAAATGTTGACTTTAAACGAGACTGTAGATATTCTTGTTTCATCAAATCGTTTGTCAATAGCTTGCTTCGTTTTAGAAACTCTTCGTACGTAGAGCATGCTATTACATATCGAATCAACTGGGAGACAAAAACCCCATAAGCAGGTGATAAGGGTATATTTCTTCTTAAGTAATGGAAGTTGACGATAGAAAAGTTGAAGTCATCACGTTTATCATAAAGTTTTGTTGTTAGGTTACCCTTAAAGTCTTTTTCTAGTAAAATATTCAAATTGAAACAGATGTGTCAGACTCTGTGGTATTTTTTGTTTTATTTCAAGTTCACTGGTATATATCGAGATGACATATGAATGGAAGTAACTACATGTATTATTAATTGATACGTCGTCGATATATCTAAATGTCGAGTTGAAGGCCACAACAAGTGTCTTTTTCTTCTTGTCATATATTAGTTTTTGAATAAATTCTAATAAATTTGAATACAAAAATAGGTTTGCTAATAAGGGGGCGCAAATGGCACCCATAGAAATTTCGACAGATTGTTGGAAGACCTGATCTCCAAAAACTACATAAATATTGTCAATCAGAAACCCAAGCATCTTTTTAATATCTACTTGTGTGTATAATCAGAATGTTTTTTAACAAAATAATTTTGCGAATGACCAATGGCAAGTTAAGTAAATTTATGAGTTCCATTTTTATTGTATCAGTATATACAATATGTATATGTATACATATACAATATTATTAGAATTCCGTACAGCTCACATATTATATGACAAAAATTAATGAGAACAAATGAAAGATGTCACAACAATACTTAATTGTTACCAGGTATATGCGGAGCTATGTATATTCAGTGATGAGATATCATCATATAATGATTGTTCAACCGGAGAGAGCTAATCATATGTATTAAACAATATATGTGTTATATATAAGTTTACACTATATATGCTATGAACATGTGTTATTTACTTAGTGCAATAGTTTTAGGAGATAAGGATTTTGAAATTGCACTTTGATAACACAAGATTGGATTTTATCCGTAGACATTCTGACAGTATTCGGATTATAATGTTTCAGTTCAAATACGCCTTGTGTGGTAAGTATACACATATATATAATATATATACTCTCTCTCTCTCTCTCTCTCTCTCTCTCTCTCTCTCTCTCTCTCTCTCTCAACTGATTTCTTTCTCAAAATTTTGATATGATTTTCTAATGTTTCTTTCGTTTTGAAATCAATTCCATGGTGTTCTTCAGGCCTGTCTTTGCTGACCTCCTATACTGCTGAAGGTAAGATTTTCACCGAGTGCGTGCATTTGTCCTGCTACTGTGGAATTACTTTAATTCGTGGGATCATCCTTCGTGGGCATCCAAAAATATGCTATTTCGCGAGCTTATTTCGTTGGTAGCTTGTATATACAAAAGATTAAATGAACTGATACGTTGCTATCGACTGTGAGTATGTAAATTCGCATGTAATGATGATCCACAAACATTGTTCCCCCACAAGCAATGATGACTGTACAGTATTTGTATTTTAATACATTATTTTTTCCTTCTGTTTAGAGTTATATATACAAAAATTAGTCAATATTTGATTATTGTAAACTGTTAAAGATGCTCATCTCTGAACATATTGAACTGTTCATTAATCCAGCAAAAATATTTTTTTCATGTTTAGAGCTAAACGTTTTACTATACACAGTGATTTTAATCAGCCAAATCTGGATGTGTGAGTTGTTTCCACGGTTATAGTTTGCTTATCATACGTTCAAAGGTTTCCATTTATAATAAGGGTATTGATTGAAAAGGTCTTGGGTTGAGATGCTTGCGCTGTGACGACGTCTCGGAGCCTCGTTTCTGTGAGAGGATAGAGTATTGCCAAGATGGTGACGTAAGAAATCTAGATTAATGAGCTCGGTTTCCGAAATAAGAAATATTTTGATCCAAATATTGTACAAAAAATGAATACGAAGAAAGGCAAATTTTTTTTTTTTTAAAAAATCGTACAAACTTTATGAAAGCTTCCCAAAATATTTATAGATGCCTTTTATTATTTGAAAATCAAACATGGGAAATTGTTATGTTGTAAATTCATGGAAAATATTGCTTAAAGTGTACCGGTATTATTGGTGAATTATTAAGCTACTTTAAACGTTTTAACAAACTTATAATTTGGGATAAAGGAGATGGGCAAACATAGCGTGCAGAAAGCCTATAGCTTCAGAAATATAAAAATAATGTTCAGTTTATGAATTTAATATTTAGAGTAAAGTTCTCATTATTGAAAGTTATGTAATTGTGATAAACAAAACTTTTCTGAGGAAAATTTTCTCGGCAAAATTTATTCTTTTATTAAAAAAAATAATGTGGTATTTGTGGGATTCGAACCCTAACAATAAAAATCCCGAGAATCATTTTCTTTCGAGACTAGCACGCTAACCACTAGACTACACAAGTCCTGACGAAACAGTGGCATTTAAATCATGTTTGTGATATGACCCTTGACTTAATGGACTTCAAGTATTTCTCGAAAAGATTCGTATGTTATGTCATAAAAGTATATTTTTAAGGTACAGTGGGTCATTGCTCCATATTTTTGGTAACCAAAAAATGTATAATTATTTTAATACTTTGAGTATTAACTTTCAAAAAGGTGGAGCGAAGACCCACTCATATCGAAAAGTTGTGTTATAGTATGCGAAAATGACTCTTTTAGCCCGCTTTAGTGTGTGTCTAATATTTCACAGGAAAATAATTTCAATCTTTGAGGGATTTGTACAAATTGTAGAGATTTTACATAAAGCATATTTTAATGTTAGAAGAAATATCAAGGAAAATTTTGATATAATAGAAATTTAATTTTTCATCTTCATGTTTGTCACATTATAGGCTTATCGCTCGTCATGTTCACACATCTCCTTTTTCACTACAATCTTTATTCAGTATAATAATAAAAGATAACCTACCTTGATTGACAGGTGTGTGCCGTTCAGTGGTACCAAAAAGAGAATGGAGATACATCCTTCTGGACCGGCTGTCAACAACAGTCGGTAAGTCTCTCTCTCTCTCTCTCTCTCTCTCTCTCTCTCTCTCTCTCAGTGTGCCGAATAAATACAAGTATGATAAAAATAATTTAATATATTTTCTCATATTTTTTCTCCAAATCTTTCTGAAATTAATATTGAAAATTTTATGACTTCCGGATAACTGAAGGGAAACTGAAGTGGTACACGTTCCATAGGCCTATAAGTTTATTTCTGAAACAAGACAAACATATACATGTATGTGGTAATTTTATTTTATAAATACTTAATAATAACAATGATTTAGTAGCTTAAAATTCATGCTTACATATTTCAAACAAAGTCTTTTACCCTCAGAATTGTATGAAGTAGGGGAAAGTATGTATGAAATCAATAAAACTGTTCGTACATCTTAACTTTCACAAGAAAACTGTTTCCTGCTGCTTTGGTCCTTTGGATCTCTTGTTTTAATATATTTGATTTAATGTTTAAATAAGAATAGCTTTTTCTTGACATACAGAGTTGTCCAAAAGTCACCAACAGAACAATCGTACAGACAAACAAACGTAAGATTCATGGATCAGTGTTGTGTCAAGAGTGTTGCTATGGTGATTTATGTAATGCAGAAGGCTGTGGGGCACCAGGTAGGTGTAGTTTGGTTTGATTTTTAAAGGTCGCTGTGCGTGGAAAAGGGAACATTTGTATATGGTGGTCTTCCCATTGAATATCTGTAAAATTTGTAACATCAAAAAGTGATTTCATTAAGTAGGAATGGCAACTGTAGTTATAAAACAACAATTTATTGTATAGCTTTTGATCTTGGTTATTGTCAAAAGTTAAATGTACTGTGACATCTGTTGTTAGTTATTTTTTTTTAAGTTACAATAAAACCTTTAGTTGCTGAACGCTGCAGAACTGTAGCTCTCTGGTCGAGTAAATTCGGACAGACAAACCTGGTTGAGCCTCTTCTTAAGAAATTTATACAGGTGACTTCCAAAGGAGCGTTAATGAATTGATAAATGACCGTGAACTTAAGAAATAAAGGAGATAATATTCAGTGGAAGTAAATATCTCAAAATGACGGAAAACTTTTACAATTTTAAATGGCTAATTTTATTCTAGGAGTATCAGTAAAGACAATGAAGGTCTATCTATTTCAATTAGTTTTAATGAACACCTATTTTAATGTAATTATACAGTTCATTTTTGCCTTTCGTGGTACAATACTAATGATTAAAACAAATTATTAAGGGTAACAACTTTTGATCAAATTAGTTTTCCAGTTATCCTAAGTTAGACTTCTATTGATTTAGACAGCTGTTTGATGTCGTTGAGTGATCGGCACATATTTTAAAATGAATACTGTATATACAGGGTTATTTTCGCCTTTTCATACTTGCAAGCAATTTTGCACCGTTTTGAATTCGCCCAGTCACAGTTCTGTTTAAGAAATTAAACTGTGTTCTTTGAATTCGCCCCGTTTAGAATTCTCCCACCTGTGAGTAGTGCAGGAGGGGCAAAAATAAAACGGGGGCGAATATCTCCCTGTATACAGTATTTTGTTTTCTGTCAAAGAAAAAAATATTAGAGAAAAAAATTTTATTTAACTTTTTGCATTTTGAACATAATTTCAAAATTTGAAAAATAAAGTTAAATTTTTCCTGTGACGTTGATTTATTTTAAACTTAAAAAAAAAATTATTTATTTTTGTAAATCAATGTTTATCATTTCAGCTTATCCGACCTCTAGAGGACCGATCTGTTTTAATTGTGCTCACACCTTAAACCCCTCAGACTGTCATCACGTGACTCTATGTGGAACCAATGAGGTAAAGAACAGTATATCTCTTAATAAAAATACACTTACGTCAGTTAATTCCAATTTATATCAGTAACTACATGTATTGTTTTATGGTCATTATATCCAACACAATACGTTCTCTTAACAGAAAAAGGTGTCACCGAGGTCAATTCAAAGCAAAAATAAAACTTCAAGGAAAATAGTATTTTTAATTTTAAAAAAATGTTTTCTTACGAGGGCTGTTCGAAAATTATTGAGACAAATACTTTTACTCCACAAAGGACAGAGATAAATTCATAAAAATTCGTCAACGTTTTTTAAAGAACAAATAAAACAAATGTACAAAATTTCTAATTTATAGGATAATTGAATAAGTTCCGGTGAAATTATAAACAAGCATATGTCTATTGACCTGGAGCAGCATCGCTACGTCATTTTAACGTCAGGTCAGCCGATATATTCTCATTGTGAAATGACCAGAAAGCATTCAATCTACTTCCTCTATCATTACATATAACATTTCAAAAATCAAACTGTGTCTTATAATTCTTAATCGATTCTTTAAAAAAAAAAAAAAAAAAAAAAAAACAATGCTGTTGCTGCCCCAGTGTAAAATATACAAAAAGTGTCAAATACAGGTTGACTTAGCATCATGCAGTACCGAGTTATGCAACGCGTGTCAACGTTATTTAGTCCGTAATAATTGATGGTCGTCCGGGGCTTTTATTTTTACTCTGGTTGAATTATTTGTAAGAAAATGATATATACCAATGAAACAATAAACCCTTAGACTTGTTTTATTGCATTGTTATTCTTTTAGCAGGTCGTTTAGTCTGGACAAGAGTTCTCAATACCGCTACACAAAATTTTAGGTATGATCGCTGCTCCGCCTTGACGTCAAAATCCGTTTTGTCGTCGTTATCAGATAGCTATACCGCGCGTAAATATTTTAATGATCTCCGTATTTCTGATCGAAATACTAACAAACTTGCACAAAATGAAGTCAAAGTTAAATTGAAATATTATATACATAATTTGAATTATTTTCGCTCTTACTATGTATCCACTGGGAGTTTTAACGTTGGTGTTACATATTTTCAATATCCGATTTCGTGACTGCGCCGAGTACCCCTACCACTGACACATTAATATTCCATTGAAAAGATGAAATAAAATATTTTTAAAATATTTCTTGTTTTTATTACTTCTTAGAGTTTGTCAAATGTATATGCAAATTTTCACCGAAAAACGTTCATTAGAAAGAAGAATATACACAATGTCTCAATAATTTCCGAACAGCCCTCGTACTTGTGATATATTTCTTGAAAATAGACAAAAGTCTAGAGCTGTACGTAGAGTAGCTTGAAATAAGATGTTTTGTCACTATTCTTATAAGGAACTACATATTGTAGGATTTGAGAAAATCTTAGTTAAAGAAACTTATATCTTTTCCCCACCCTGCATGTCATAAAACTTTCTTGTATGGGCCAAGAAAATCAAGACTTCCACATTAGTAAATACTGTAAAACAACTGGAATTTCTGTGAATTGCAGTTATGTGTAACTGAAAGAAAAAAAATGTCTAATTTTTGTGTGTAAAAGGAGCTAATACAAATTGGAGCGCGAGGTTTGTATAGATAAGGATGTGTTAAAAATTCAAAGTAGGGACATGTATATACATTGTCATATATATTATTTTACAAACGCCGTCAATTAGATTATTATTTCTATCCTTTTTGCATTTTAATTGTTTATAAACGAAATGCGAATGTGATTTCATATAATTTGAATGATCACATACAGAAAAAAAAAAAAAACACGCTTATTGCAAAAGGCCAGGAATGAACAATTTTTATTCGCTATAAACTTAATTGATTAAATATGTAATGTTATAAAACAACAGGGAATACATTCTCAGGTAATTTTAATTTATTTGAAATTAATTGTAATATCTATTATGTTTCAAATTATTTTTAAATTAACTTAAAATCTGTCCTAAAAAGTTCCGTCTGTGCTCCTTTTAAATTAATTTATATGAAATTGTACATGTCACTAAAAACTTACAGCGAAATTAGTAAAATTAATTCCTTCTCTTCATTTTGCTTCTAAATTATTTTTCCCATTTCCCATCTGCATGCACAATTTAATAACGAAATTAAAAAAAAATTCTTTTTAATTTACAAATACTTAAAAGTCCGAAACATAAAAAAATTGACACAGAATACGGCTGAAATAAATTGAAATCAGTGAAAGAGCGATGACTCTGTCTTTATAGTTCGAAGAAATATTGTAATGAGTGTTCTTAGGTGCTTATATAAAAAACAAATATCCAATAATAAGTAATAAAAAAAAATATTTAACAGCCACTGTGTCCATCTTCTTGCTTTTTTTTTTAGCAGTTTGACTTTAAAATCAATTGTTAAATGTCTAGCATGCTCGTATACATAATGAAGTGTGTGCGCATACACCCAATGATAGCTATTTTTACCTACATTACAAACGATAATCATTCAATGTATCAACAATAGATGTGTTTCCTTGGAGAGAGGCCTGTATTCGGACAACGTTACTTTACAAGTCACTGTGAAGATATACACGTAAGTAAACATCTAACAAATCACAGTGAAGATACACACGTAAGTATATATCTAACAAGTCACTGTGAAGATATACACGTAAGTATACATCTAACAAGTCATTGTGAAGATATACACGTAAGTAAACATCGAACAAGTCACTGTGAAGATATACACGTAAGTATACATCTAACAAGTCACTGTAAAGATATACACATAAGTAAACATCTAACAAGTCACTGTGAAGATATACACGTAAGTATACATCTAACAAGTCACTGTAAAGATATACACATAAGTAAACATCTAACAAGTCACTGTGAAGATATACACGTAAGTTAACATCTAACAAGTCACTATAAAGATATACACGTAAGTATACATCTAACACGTCACTGTGAAGATATACACGTAGGTAAACATCTAACACGTCACTGTGAAGATATACATGTAAGTAAACATCTAACACGTCACTGTGAAGATATACACATAAGTAAACATCTAACAAGTCACTGTGAAGATATACACGTAAGTAAACATCTAACACGTCACTGTGAAGATATACACGTAAGTATACATCTAACACGTCACTGTGAAGATATACACATAAGTAAACATCTAACAAGTCACTGTGAAGATACACCTGTAAGTAATCATCCAACAAGTCACTGTGAAGATATACACATAAGTATACATCTAACAAGTCACTGTAAAGATATACACATAAGTAAACATCTAACAAGTCACTGTGAAGATATACACGTAAGTAAACATCTAACAAGTCACTATAAAGATATACACGTAAGTATACATCTAACACGTCACTGTGAAGATATACACGTAAGTAAACATCTAACACGTCACTGTGAAGATATACACGTAAGTATACATCTAACACGTCACTGTGAAGATATACACATAAGTAAACATCTAACAAGTCACTGTGAAGATACACCTGTAAGTAATCATCCAACAAGTCACTGTGAAGATATACACATAAGTATACATCTAACAAGTCACTGTAAAGATATACACATAAGTAAACATCTAACAAGTCACTGTGAAGATATACACGTAAGTAAACATCTAACAAGTCACTGTGAAGATATACATGTAAGTAAAAATCTAATAAGTTACTGTGAAAATATATACATGTAAGTATATATCTAACGAGTCACTGTGAACATAACACTCAGGGCAATTGAGCAGTGAGGGTTATTTATCCTGTCAAAGCTTACCATAAAACGGAACCTCGGTTTTTAAGAAAGATCCGTGACTTTCACTTCTATTGCATGCACTTGGCGAAGGAACGGTCACTATCTATGTTTATGTATTAGGTTTGACGCTTCGCGGCTAGCGAGAATCGAACCCGGGTCTCCCGATCACGAAGCGAACGTCTTACCACTAGGCTACCATGAACGATGTGGAGGAATTGGAAGGAGACTTGTAAAAAAGGAGATGGGAGGCAAGAAGAAGGAGATGAGAAATAAAGAGGTAGCGCTGAAGGGAAGACGGGGAAGCAGATTGAGTAATGAGGAACAGAGAATGGGGGAGGGGGAAAGAGAAAAAATAAGCCATGCTATAGAAGAAAGAATTTTTTACAAATGTCCAAATATTCAAGCTCTTGCGTAATTAATAATATAATCCCTAGGCATGTGAAAATCATGTATCAGCGCCGATTATTGTTGGAAGGAAGCGATCTCTGAGGGGTCATAGGTCATATGCACCATGCTCAGGTTGTTGTCAAGGAGATCTCTGTAATATCAACTGTAACGCTTCATTTACTTCCGGTACCATCATCAACACAGGAACTACTGGTGGTAAGTTTTCTTGATAATCTTTCTTCAAATGAATATATAAAATTGATAATCGTATGCTTGCGTTTTTCAAATACTTTAATATTATTATGTGTTCCTAATTCTACAGTATGTGAAGCAAAAGGTAATTCTTTTGTCTTTTATTATTACATGTCTGATGCATGTTTACAAAATTCCACATTGCTTTGGTTAGCACCGACTCATATGACAGAAATATCTGGCAATTATGCTTTCTACGCACATCTCACGTCATCAACGACAAACAATTACGTCATATTTAACAACGTTACAACCAATGAAGGCTTGGCTTACAACGGGAGCACAGGAATTTTTACTTGTAAATACAGTGGGCCGTATGTCTTTTCGTGGACCATAGCTACAAGTAATCAGCGCTACACAGGAACAGATCTTCTAATTAATGATGTCGCGCTCGGTTCCTCCTTCACAGACTCTCGAGGAAGTAGAGTCACTGCTGATTCAAGCACGGGCTTTGTAGTTTATAACCTGAAGTTTGGGGACAAGGTCAGAGTGAAGGTCAATGGAACCGCTAATGCAATGTTGTCCACGTTCTCTGGATGGCGACTTAATTACAGTAAGTTTTACTTGGTTTTTATTAATAGAAGATATATTCATGTTTTCTTTAGCACTTATTAATAGTGTAAACTCCATGTTGATAAATGTTTTACCCTTTATTTGCTTTCTGTTTAATTAGTGAAAAGACGCTCCTTTTTGTAAATCATAAAGTGCATTAACCTGCTATTCGTAACTTCTGTATCTCTCCATTTCGCAAGACCTTATTTTCGCGAGATAGGCATTTGGTATTTATAAGAGAGACAAACTTTCCCCGATTCTCATTATTGTTGTTTGAATTTATATCAATAAAAAAAAGTGATTTACAGTATGTAAACAAATGAGCAGTCAATATTTCTTGACTAAAAAGAAAAAAAAATTACTTTGACTTTATGTTTTATTTAAGATGACGCGTATTTCTATGCTAGAGCCTCTACATCGCTAACAAGACCTACGTCCATATCATACGGCTTCAGTTTCCAGAATGTAATCACAAACAACGGACACGTGTACCATTCCGGGAATGGCACGTTCGTCTGTCCAGAGTCAGGCTTGTATGCTTTTGCATTCTCGGTCGAGGCCCATCGTCAGGATTTCATGGTTTACTTTTACCGGAATGGACACAAGTTGAATGAACTTGGGGTGTGGCCCGATTCCTCCTCTGGACCATACGAAGACACCTCATCCACTCTACAGTTGTTCTCTTTGACCCCTGGGGACAGAGTGTATCTTTACACATCTGAATCTGGCAGCACTCTAGAACCTATACATTCTACGTTTTCTGGATGGCACATTGGTTCAAGTAAGTTTTTACCTGACCTTATATTCTAACTTGTCTAGTGTCATCAAAACGCTTTTTATAAAAGCCTTTTCAAGTTTCCCTGTATCGGCAACCCAGCATACAAACAGTACACAAATCAGTTTAGGTAGATATGATCCAAACTTTATTAAATGAATAACTGTTATTATTTCTGAGTAAGTAAGAAATGGTGAAAGATACCGTAGTAACCAACCAATAATCAATATTTAACAAAAATTATATCACAATTTCTCTTGTACAAAGCTTGTAAACCAAGCCTCTAAGTGTAGGATAGACCACAATGGGTAGATTAAACATTAACAAGGAAATATGTAAAAATCACTCTAATTTACTTCTTTTTCTTTACTTGGGCTTTTCAAAGACAAGGAATAACTATTTATAAGATCAGTTTTACTAATCATATTAAATATGCAAGTAGTTCATATTTGAAATAAGGTTATACATGTTCAAATTTTACAGAATAACTTTCTCTAAGTGTGGTTTGAAGTTCCCATCGATCAGGCTTTGGAAGCTTTGTATGTACTATGCCTAAATAGTAGTCAGGGATTGACACGCTGCACGAGTATACTTTGTGTCAAACCCTGATTACTATTTAGGCATAGTGCATACAAAGCATAACACTCTTGTTTTATTATGCTGACTGTTGTATGAAAACCACAACTGAAATAAATCCTTGTGTGCAGATATCAAATCCCATTGATAATTTTTATGTACATTCCTTCACTAAGAGTATATACTAACGAGTGTTTTAATTCATTGAACTCAGTTTGTGTAATGATGTGTATTTTACTGTGATAATACGAGGGGTAATCAAAAAGTTCGTGAACTGATGCGATATAATTAATACTGTGTAGTCTGTGCTTACAAAATTTATGAAAAACATAAAACAACAAAAGTTTAAGAAATGTTGAAAATTTTAGCTTGATACGTTGATAATTTTCCAAATTATTCTAAAATAAAAAACAGTATATGATCACCCGGCGCTGTCGCCGTTTAGTTTCATGACGTCCGACAACGTCATTGTTTCTCAATGTCAGCTTCGTCTGCCTTCTACACTTATCTTGATGTGATTACCTGGAGTAAAGTAAGGACTTAAGCCCGTCTTGTTTATGTGACTTTACAATGTCATGAACAGCTGCTTTCAATGCATATAATATTGTAAATGTATCTATACGTAGGGAAAGATCCTCACTTGATTATGCCAGAATACTGAGCTTGTTGGAGTTCAATTTCTACCACACATGATCAACGTCACTTTTCGACGTGACTGAATTTTGACACCCTGACTACAACTTGACTTTAACTGTGCATCTTTCTTCTCTTTGAATCTTTTTGGACATTTAAAACAAGTACTCTGGATATATTTTATTTTTCTGTAGCCCGTTTAAACATTCCCTAGGTCTATACCAGTTTTTCCAGGTGCGAAACTTTAAAGAATGTTGGAAACAGAAACTCTCCCCCTTTTTGACGTCATTTTCAAGCCCTTAATTATTTGGACACTCCATATAAAATTTAACGATAAAATTTCATAGAATTTACAGAATGGGGTAAAAATTGCAAATTTTACGAAATAATTGAGTTGTAACACATACCGGACTTTTTGACGACAAATGCTCATATCAAAAGAGTTTTTCTCAGTTACACTCAGGTAGAAAAAACGTCCTATTTGAGGTTGCGCCGCTTGGACATACCATTGCTTACAAAAACATTAACACTTTATTAAAAAATAAAACTTATGATTTATGGTTTATTCTAAAGATAGATAGGATGATGCTAACTAAATGTATTAAAATTCATTGATGTACCTAAAGCGGTTTTAATTTTATGGCGCTAGTCCACGAACTTTTTGATAACCCCTCGTAAGTAAAACATTTATTTGAATATTTTTTCCATTAATTACCACTGTTTCATTACCGCTTACAATGATTTTTTTTTTTGGTTCTCAAAACCCCTATTATGACGTCACATGCTACATGCACGGCATTTTTATAGCGTTTCATGCAGTTAGGTATAATGTACAGACAGTTTCAAAAAATTTTAGTTGAGTAAAGGGGAAAAAGGTTACATGAAACTATTTTGGAAAATAATTTTGTTTATTTTTCCTTAAAGTGTCAAAATATATGAAACTATATTTATGTACATTAAAATACCATGTATTGGGTAGTGGCTTCTGTGGCGTTAACGATAGCGCGTCGGACTGACGATCTTGGGGTCGTAAGTTCGATCCTCGGCGTGAGTGCTGTAGAATTTTCTTTAGAGAAAGAAGCCGTGCAGTATTTCGGAATAGTATGTTTACGCTATATATAGAAAGTTTAAACTATGCGAAAATAGTTGGGTATTGATTATGTAAAGAGAAACTTACAGAAAGCATAATAATACTTCAATGTCTCTGCTGCGTATGCTTTAACCTCATTGTCTCTGATCCAACTGCTATTACCTAAGTGTGTCTGCTCTGCCTGCTGTAACCTCATTGTCTCTTCTCCGCCTACTATTACCTAAGTGTGTTTCCTCTGCCTGCTATAACCCCAGTGTGTCTCCTCCGCCTGCTATTACCTAAGTGTGTCTCCTCTGCCTGCTATAACTCCAGTGTCTCTCCTCCGCCTGCTATTACCTCAGTGTTTCTGCTCCGTGTGCTATTACCTCAGTGTCTCTGCTCCGCCTGCTATTACCTCAGTGTCTCTGCTCCGTCTGCTATAACCTCAGTGTCTCTCCTCCGCCTGCTATTACCTCAATGTCTCTGCTCCGCCTGCTATTACCCCAGTGTCTCTGCTCCGCCTGCTATTACCTCAGTGTCTCTGCTCCGCCTGCTATTACCTCAGTGTCTCTGCTCCGCCTGCTTTAACCTCAGTGTCTCTGCTCCGCCTGCTATTACCTCAGTGTCTCTCCTCCGCTTGCTATAACCTCAGTGTCTCTGCTCCGCCTGCTATAACCTCAGTGTCTCTGCTCCGCCTGCTATTACTTCAGTGTCTCTGCTCCGCCTGCTATAACCTCAGTGTCTCTGCTCCGCCTGCTATTACCTCAGTGTCTCTCCTCCGCTTGCTATAACCTCAGTGTCTCTGCTCCGCCTGCTATAACCTCAGTGTCTCTGCTCCGCCTGCTATTACTTCAGTGTCTCTGCTCCGTGTGCAATTACCTTAGTGTCTCTGCTCCGTCTGCTATTACCTCAGTGTCTCTCCTCCGCCTGCTATTACCTCAGTGTCTCTGCTCCGCCTGCTATTACCTCAGTGTCTGCTCAGCCTGCTATTACCTCAGTGTTTCTGCTCCGTCTGCTATTACCTCAGTGTCTCTGCTCAGCCTGCTATTACCTCAGTGTCTCTGCTCCGCATGCTATTACCTCAGTGTCTCTGCTCCGCCTGCTATTACTTCAGTGTCTCTGCTCCGCCTGCTATTACCTCAGTGTCTCTCCTCCGTGTGCTATTACCCTAGTGTCTCTGCTCCGCCTGCTGTTACCTCAGTGTCTCTCCTCCGTGTGCTATTACCTCAGTGTCTCTGCTTCGCCTACTATTACCTCAGTGTTTCTGCTTCGTGTGCTATTACCTCAGTGTCTCTGCTCCGCCTGCTATTACCTCAGTGTCTCTGCTCCGTGTGCTATTACCTCAGTGTCTCTGCTCCGCCTGCTATAACCTCAGTGTCTCTGCTCCGCCTGCTATTACCCCAGTGTCTCTCCTCCGCCTGCTATTACCTCAGTGTCTCTGCTCCGCCTGCTGTTACCTCAGTGTCTCTCCTCCGTGTGCTATTACCTCAGTGTCTCTGCTCCGCCTACTATTACCTCAGTGTTTCTGCTCCGTCTGCTATTACCTCAGTGTCTCTGCTCCGCCTGCTATTACCTCAGTGTCTCTGCTCCGTGTGCTATTACCTCAGTGTCTCTGCTCCGCCTGCTATAATCTCAGTTTCTCTGCTCCGCCTGCTATTACCCCAGTGTCTCTCCTCCGCCTGCTATTACCTCAGTGTCTCTCCTCCGCCTGCTATTACCTCAGTGTCTCTGCTCCGTGTGCTATAACCTCAGTGTCTCTCCTCCGTGTGCTATTACCCTAGTGTCTCTACTCCGCCTGCTATAACCTCAGTGTCTCTCCTCCGCCTGCTATTACCTCAGTGTCTCTCCTCCGCTTGCTATTACCTCAGTGTCTCTGCTCCGCCTGCTATAACCTCAGTGTCTCTTCTCCGCCTGCTATTACTTCAGTGTCTCTGCTCCGCCTGCTATTAACTCAGTGTCTCTCCTCCGTGTGCTATTACCTCAGTGTCTCTGCTCCGCCTGCTAATACCCCAGTGTCTCTGCTCCGTGTGCAATTACCTCAGTGTCTCTGCTCCGTCTGCTATTATCTCAGTGTCTCTCCTCCGCCTGCTATTACCTCAGTGTCTCTGCTCCGCCTGCTATTACCTCAGTGTCTGCTCAGCCTGCTATTACCTCAGTGTTTCTGCTCCGTCTGCTATTACCTCAGTGTCTCTGCTCAGCCTGCTATTACCTCAGTGTCTCTGCTCCGATTGCTATTACCTCAGTGTCTCTGCTCCGCCTGCTATTACTTCAGTGTCTCTGCTCCGCCTGCTATTACCTCAGTGTCTCCTCCGTGTGCTATTACCTCAGTGTCTCTGCTCCGCCTGCTGTTACCTCAGTGTCTCTCCTCCGTGTGCTATTACCTCAGTGTCTCTGCTCCGCCTACTATTACCTCAGTGTCTCTCCTCTGCCTGCTATTCCCTCATTGTCTCTCCTCCATGTGCTGTTACCCCAGTGTCTCTGCTCAGCCTGTTATTACCTCAGTGTTTCTGCTCCGTCTGCTATAACCTCAGTGTCTCTGCTCCGCCTGCTATTACCTCAGTGTCTCTGCTCCGTCTGCTATTACCTCAGTGTCTCTGCTCCGCCTGCTATTACCCCAGTGTCTCTGCTCAGCCTGCTATTACCTCAGTGTTTCTGCTCCGCCTGCTATTACCTCAGTGTCTCTGCTCCGCCTGCTATTATTTCAGTGTTTCTGCTCCGTGTGCTATTACCTCAGTGTCTCTGCTCCGTGTGCTATTACATAAGTGTGTTTGCTCCGCCTGCTATTACCTCAGTGTTTCTGCTCCATGTGCTATTACCTCAGTGTCTCTGCTCCGCCTGCTATAACCTCAGTGTCACTGCTCCGTGTGCTATAACCTCAGTGTCTCTGTCCGTGTGCTATTACCTCAGTGTTTCTGCTTCGTGTGCTATTACCTCAGTGTTTCTGCTCCGCCTGCTATTACCTCAGTGTCTCTGCTCCGTGTGCTATTACCTCAGTGTTTCTGCTCCGTGTGCTATTATCTCAGTGTTTCTGCTCCGCCTGCTATTACCTCAGTGTCTCTGCTCCGCCTGCTGTAACCTCAGTGTCTCTGCTCCGTCTGCTATAACCTCAGTGTCACTGCTCCGCCTGCTATTATCCTAGTGTCTCGGCTCAGCCTGCTATTATCCTAGTGTCTCTGCTCCGCCCGCTATTACCCCAGTGTCTCTGCTCCGCCTGCTATTATCCTAGTGTCTCTGCTCCGTGTGCTATTACCTCAGTGTCTCTCTTCCGCCTGCTATTATCCTAGTGTTTCTGCTCCGCCTGCTATTATCCTAGTGTCTCTGCTCCGCCTGCTATTATCCTAGTGTCTCTGCTCCGCCTGCTATAACCTCAGTGTCACTGCTCCGCCTGCTATTATCCTAGTGTTTCTGCTCCGCCTGCTATTATCCTAGTGTCTCTGCTCCGTCTGCTACTACCTCAGTGTCTCTGCTCCGCCTGCTATTATCCTAGTGTCTCTGCTCCGTGTGCTATTACCTCAATGTCTCTGCTCCGCCTACTATTATCCTAGTGTCTCTGCTCCGTGTGCTATTACCTCAGTGTCTCTCTTCCGCCTGCTATTATCCTAGTGTTTCTGCTCCGCCTGCTATTATCCTTGTGTCTCTGCTCCGTGTGCTATTACCTCAGTGTCTCTGCTCCGCCTGCTATTATCCTAGTGTCTCTGCTCCGTGTGCTATTACCTCAATGTTTCTGCTCCGCCTGCTATTATTCTAGTGTCTCTGCTCCGCCTGCTATAACCTCAGTGTCACTGCTCCGCCTGCTATTATCCTAGTGTTTCTGCTCCGCCTGCTATTATCCTAGTGTCTCTGCTCCGTCTGCTACTACCTCAGTGTCTCTGCTCCGCCTGCTATTATCCTAGTGTCTCTGCTCCGTGTGCTATTACCTCAATGTTTCTGCTCCACCTGCTATTACCTCAGTGTCTCTGCTCTGCCTGCTATTATCCTAGTGTCTCTGCTCCGTGTGCTATTACCTCAGTGTCTCTGCTCCGTGTGCTATTACATAAGTGTGTTTGCTCCGCCTGCTATTACCTCAGTGTTTATGCTCTGTCTGCTATAACCCCAGTGTCTTTCCCCCGCCTGCTATTACCTCAGTGTTTCTGCTCCATGTGCTATTACCTCAGTGTCTCTGCTCCGCCTGCTATAACCTCAGTGTCACTGCTCCGTGTGCTATAACCTCAGTGTCTCTGTCCGTGTGCTATTACCTCAGTGTTTCTGCTTCGTGTGCTATTACCTCAGTGTTTCTGCTCCGCCTGCTATTACCTCAGTGTCTCTGCTCCGTGTGCTATTACCTCAGTGTTTCTGCTCCGTGTGCTATTATCTCAGTGTTTCTGCTCCGCCTGCTATTACCTCAGTGTCTCTGCTCCGCCTGCTGTAACCTCAGTGTCTCTGCTCCGTCTGCTATAACCTCAGTGTCACTGCTCCGCCTGCTATTATCCTAGTGTCTCGGCTCAGCCTGCTATTATCCTAGTGTCTCTGCTCCGCCCGCTATTACCCCAGTGTCTCTGCTCCGCCTGCTATTATCCTAGTGTCTCTGCTCCGTGTGCTATTACCTCAGTGTCTCTCTTCCGCCTGCTATTATCCTAGTGTTTCTGCTCCGCCTGCTATTATCCTAGTGTCTCTGCTCCGCCTGCTATTATCCTAGTGTCTCTGCTCCGCCTGCTATAACCTCAGTGTCACTGCTCCGCCTGCTATTATCCTAGTGTTTCTGCTCCGCCTGCTATTATCCTAGTGTCTCTGCTCCGTCTGCTACTACCTCAGTGTCTCTGCTCCGCCTGCTATTATCCTAGTGTCTCTGCTCCGTGTGCTATTACCTCAATGTTTCTGCTCCGCCCGCTATTACCCCAGTGTCTCTGCTCCGCCTACTATTATCCTAGTGTCTCTGCTCCGTGTGCTATTACCTCAGTGTCTCTCTTCCGCCTGCTATTATCCTAGTGTTTCTGCTCCGCCTGCTATTATCCTTGTGTCTCTGCTCCGTGTGCTATTACCTCAGTGTCTCTGCTCCGCCTGCTATTATCCTAGTGTCTCTGCTCCGTGTGCTATTACCTCAATGTTTCTGCTCCACCTGCTATTATCCTAGTGTTTCTGCTCCGCCTGCTATTATTCTAGTGTCTCTGCTCCGCCTGCTATAACCTCAGTGTCACTGCTCCGCCTGCTATTATCCTAGTGTTTCTGCTCCGCCTGCTATTATCCTAGTGTCTCTGCTCCGTCTGCTACTACCTCAGTGTCTCTGCTCCGCCTGCTATTATCCTAGTGTCTCTGCTCCGTGTGCTATTACCTCAATGTTTCTGCTCCACCTGCTATTACCTCAGTGTCTCTGCTCTGCCTGCTATTATCCTAGTGTCTCTGCTCCGTGTGCTATTACCTCAGTGTCTCGGCTCCGCCTGCTATTACCTCAGTGTCTCTGCTCCGCCTGCTATTACCTCAGTGTTTCTGCTCCGCCTGCTATTACCTCAGTGTCTCTGCTCTCTGTATGCCTCTCCCCAGCGTTCCTCTCTATCCATACTGTATCGTTTTTTTGAGTTCATTTTAATGGTTCTGGCTCTTTTTATCAATAGTACATGTATGTTTTCTCCGTTCTAATAATATCCTCTTATTTAGTAACCTTTAAGGCACTTCTTTACTTTCCGATTCCTTTCTCTTATGAATTTGTTTTCATTGCTTCTCGAAATAGAACTGCTTGTTCTCTAATCTGTTTCAGGTTGCAGATCATCTATTGTACTAGTGTTGAGATTCAAAAGTACTTATTCCGTCACAAAACAAGAAACAAACAATATTCCGTCACAAACTAATCTTCTTACTCGCTACTGTCAACTTCTTTGTGTTGCTTCTGTTGTTCTGACCTCTAATGCTGATTATTTTGGCTTGAAAAGTCTTTGCTCTGAAGAGACAATGTTTCGAACTGCTGGTAATAAATTTCTGTGAAGGTTTCTTGTTCTTTCTCAATTAGGAATGATAAATTCCCAAATGACAGAATTTGACTGTTTTACGACACTGTTTGGTAGTCCCATTTATTCCTCCAATGCAATTTTTTTTTTAATTTAACTTTTTAAGTGCTGGTACTGTAGACTAGAAGAGACAACACACGATAATTCTGATTTCACTAGGTTCAATATTTATCATTTTACAGGGAAATCAAATCCACAGTAAATAAGGTTATCAAAGAATTAAGTACCTGTCACATGGTACAGACCTTTAACTGGAAGTAAAACATTGTAACACATTTTATCACCATGATACTAAAGCGGCTTACAGTACTGCATTTCTTGCCATTAAATCACACAGGTGTGTTTGTTTCCTGTGTGACCGGATGTATTCCTTGGTTACCCTATGATTCCTTTCAATTTATTCTTATGTGTTTTGGTGTTTTCAGCTAATGTTTTATAATATCTGCTGGTAATTTCGGAATTCTGTCAAACATTAAATAAAATGGAAAATATCACATTCCTGTTTTGTTTAATTATATGCATGTAGTATTAATGAAACACCTGTTAATGTTTTAAAGAATTTAAGGAGGTGCTTTTATATTTCTTTTAGCGACTTCCACGCCAGCATTTTTGCAGATGGCCTCGGATTCCACATCTTCGTCTCCGGCCTACTACAACACAGAGTACCTAGACACGACAAATTCATTTTACCACACCCAATTCCAGACTCCCAAAGACGGCGTCTATCTATTCTTCTGGAACATGGAAGCTAATGGTAGACATCACAGATCGTGGATTCAGGTAAACAGCGAATCTGTAGGGGAGACGATCTCGGATGGAAGAAACGCAGACTATGACAGTGGCTCAGATGTGGCCATTTTGCGCCTGGAGAGAAACGATATCATTACTGTCAAGCAGGATGGAGCAGCAGATGGTGATCAGACCATGATTTCTGGCTATTTCATGTTCTCCTAATTTATGTATCATTCTTATCTTCATTAAACTTTCTAATTGCTAGCTACATTAAGGAGTGTTTTACTCCGAGTATTGGGGGGGGGGGGGGGCATACAAGAGATTTTAAAGAAGGATTAGTATTTTGAAATAATAATTCCATTCGAGTTTTGATTTAGAATAGTCAAACGAATTGAAGAGCATTCAAAAGTTTCGAAAATTTACGATTTGTAACCGAGCAATTTTTCAAATGAATCAAAGATCGTTTAGAGACAGTATACTGCATAATAAATTGGTGTTACAGAGCTTTCTTTTATCTTGTTTTACGTCAGCATTTTGCCAATTCTCTGGTCGTTATAATATCCTTGTTTGCAAATATAATCTTTCGGTGACATACATGTTTCATTGTTTTAAATGCAAAAGGTGATTGACCGATTGATTGATTTATTGTATGTTGATTTAGGCCCCCTTCGAAAATTTTTCACTCATACAGAGACGTCACCATAGACCGGTGAAGGGCTTCAAATTTAGATTTTACTCGGCATTCAGGGCCATTGAGCAGTGAGGGTTCTTTATCGTGCCAACGCCTACCGTGACACAGGGCCTCAGTTTTTAAGGTCTTATCCGAAAGACACGCAACTTTCACTACAAAGTGCCGAGCGCTTGGTGAAGGAACAGTTGTTTCCAAATCTTATAGACTTAGGTCATTCGCGGCCGTAATTCGAACACACGACTTTCCGATCACGGAGCAAGCGCTCTATCTACCGAGCTACCGTGACGGTGCAAAAGATGAAGATAACAAAAGGTAATTGATCTTAAAAATAATTTACAAACAATACATATCTGTGTATTGTTTACAGGATTTTGAGATGGATCACATTTCGTTATCTTCGTCTTTAATTAGTTATTCAAATTTTGCCAACAGAATATCCCAAAGTTGAAAATTCAAATAATTAGCACGTTATGTACAGTAAATCCCCAATAATCCGGACACAGATAATCCGGATAATTCACCTTCTGGACAGTTCATATTTATGTATACCAAGTCTGTATCGTAGTTCGGAGGCGTCATCAATCCGGACAATTTGATCAAGAAAAAGTGTCCGGATTAGCAAGGCTGAATTTGAACAAATTTACTGCATTACTAAATATTGATAAATAAACGTTATGGGTTATTAATTGTTTGTGGTACTTAAAAGCATATATACTAGACACTGGCTGAAGACCTAAATATATAATCTAAAAACTACTCAGATTATGAAAATAAAGAGTTGGAGGTCACTGATATGAAATATCATCCTTAGTTTAATAGTTGATGAACACTGCAACAAGCAACAAAAAAAGTGTTTTTAATTTACCAAATACGAGAAAGAAAGGTAAGAATAGTTCTACTGTTTATGTGCATTTATTCCCTCACCATCGACCACAAAAATTATACTAGGCATATCTAATTACAGCTCCATATATTCTGTTTCATATTTTTCAGCATTAAATCATAATTAGAAAATTATTGTACGGCTAATTGTCATTAATAATTTTAATTTTGGGGGAAATATTTTCTTATAAGTATTTTTACACTAATCATTTTTATTATTTCGATTGACCACTCTTTTAGAAAATATCGAATAATCACCAATGGCGATGTTTGTAATTTCCGGTTTTTAAGAAAATCCGACCTAGAGATAAAAAGATTTTTATGCAGCTTACTGCATGAATCATACACTTATATATAGATAAAACAAGAAGTAAGAACAAGAACTACAAGATTAATTACAAACTATGAGTTAAAGGTGATTGAAAACCTAGTTATGGAATTTCGTGGAAAATTGAAAATATGAAGGTAAAAAGTTCATAGTCCATTAGAAATGATACACAATTTACAGTGGAGTCAACAGAGTATCCAGGGAAACATCAGAGGAGGGATCAGGTGCCATGGGGGATTAAGCATTCCCTGTTGACTGGGCACACCCACCGTAGCTCTTCGCTTTAATCAGGTAAACGACGTAATCCATAGAAAAATCAGCGTTTTATAACAGTATAATGATTGTTCAATCATGCACATTAACTAGAATTTATGGTATGTATAATGCGTGTCTGTATACACTGTCGATATGTTGTATTACTAAGTACAATTGTTCTTAGAGATAAGGATTTTGAAATTGCACCTTGATAACACATCTGACTGGAGACCATCTGTAGACAATAATATTCTGATAGTATTTGGATAATGATGTATCTGTTCACTTACTTCCTATGTGGTATATACATCTCTCTCTCTCTCTCTCTCTCTCTCTGGATGATTTTCTGACATTTCTTTCCCTTTTAAATCCATTTCATATTTTTTTTCTTCAGGACTATCTTTGCTGATCTCTTATACTGCTGAAGGTAAGTTTTTTAGCAAGTGCGTGCTCAACATGCCTTTGTTCAAAAATATGCGTTTTCTATATTTAATTTTCTCTTTTTCCGTCCCATAGTGTACAGAACACCAGTAAATATTTGATTATTATGAGGAGTTAAAGAAAATATGAAGATAACGAACAGTGGTCATGCTCAAAAGTTCATTCAGACAATAGGAATTGTCAGCAGAGCCAACAAGGATCTGAAAACTGGATCAAGATGCCATTGGGAGTAAGCTTGCATAACCGAACCTTATGAACCGATCTATTATCGTTAATCTGGAATTATCGTTATGAATATTCAATGCTATGTAATATAATTCACGATGATTCTAAACATTTAGTCATCAGACGAAGGTTTGGGATTGAACTTCTGTGAAATGATTCCACGAGATTTGTTGGTTTAGTCATCTTGCTGTCTAGGCTCTCAAAAAATAAAAGCATTTTAATTTTTTTTCAAAGGTTTTGGGTTAAGATGTTTACGTTGTGATGACGTCTTAGAGCCTCGTTTCTGTGAGAGAATAGAGTACTGCCAAGATGGTGACGTAAGATAATCTAACTTTATTAGCTCAAGATACTTAAAAGAAATATTTCTATCCAAATATTGTGTGAATATAAAGAAAGAAAGCCAGTTCAGAAAAAGTAAAAAAAAAAAAAAACAACAAAAAAAAAAGAAAGAAAAAAAAAACAAAGCTTTCTAAAATACTTGTATATATACTTTGTATTATGTGAAACTATAAAGCCACTATCTCTGTGTTTGTTAACTTTTCTTAATTTATGGAATTAATTGCAATTTGCATTTCAGAAAGAGGGATCTTGAAGCTTGTTGCTTAGAATGTATGCTTGGTGATTGATTTAGAAACCACAAAAGTTTTACTAACCTAACAAACTATAATGTTTTGAACTAAAATATTCATTAAAATTTTTTTTTATTAGAAATGATCTTTATTCATTGACAGGTGTGCGCAGTACAGAGGTACCGAAAAGAGAACGGAGATACGTCCTTTTGGACTGGTTGTCTACAACAGTTGGTAAACTAACATTACATTACTATAGTTAGATGTAGTTTACAATGGTTAACTGTAGTTTACTATGGTTAGTTGTAGTTTACCATAGTTAGATGTAGTTTACTATGGTTAGCTAAAGTTTACTATGATCAGCTGTGGTTTACCACGGTTAGCTGCAGTTTACTATGGTTAGCTGTAGTTTTCTATAATTAGCTGTTGTTTACTATAGTTAGCTGTAGTTTACTATGGTTAGCTGTAGTTTACTATGGTTAGCTGTAATTTTCTATGGTTAGCTGTAGTTTTCTATGGTAAACTGCAGTTTACTATTGTTAACTGTAGTTTACTATGGTTAGCTGTAGTTTACTATAATTAGCTGTAGTTTTCTATGGTTAGCTGTAGTTGATTATGGTTAGCTGTAGTTTGCTATGGTTAGCTGTGGTTTACTATAGTTTGCTGTAATTTACTATAGTTAGCTGTAGTTTATTATGGTTAGCTGTAGTTTACTATGGTTAGCTGTAGTTTACTATAATTAGCTGTAGTTTTCAATGGTTAGCTGTGGTTCACCACGGTTAACTGTAGTTTACTATGGTTAGCTGTAGTTTACTATAATCAGCTGTAGTTTACTATGGTTAGCTGTAGTTTACTATGGTTAGCTGTAGTTTACTATAGTTTGCTGTAGTTTACTATAGTTAGCTATAGTCTACTATGGTTAGCTGTAGTTTACTATAATTAGCTGTAGTTTTCTATGGTTAGCTGTGGTTCACCACGGTTAGCTGTAGTTTTCTATGGTTAGCTGTAGTTTACTATAATCAGCTGTAGTTTACTATGGTTAGCTGTAGTTTACTATGGTTAGCTGTAGTTTACTATAGTAAGCTGTAGTTTACTAAATTCCATATTTTGTTGAGATTTCGAAGCTTGATATCTCTGAAATACAATACCAATGATGAAAATTTCGGAAATAAAAGGTGAATATAAAAGTAATATTTTCTTTTAATAGCACATATTTTGACGTTTTAATTGGGGAACGTAAAATATTTGAATTTGAAATTCATAGTCATAATAATTTGATTAACTAAAGTAAAAATTTTGATTTACTATAGTAGAAAACATTCATACTTTAGTAAACTATTGTTAACTATAGTATTTATGTTAGACCTATAGCGCTCTCTCTCTCTCTCTCTCTCTCTCTCTCTCTCTCTCTCTCTCAGTATGTCTTGATTATATTTTTAAAAAAGTATTATAATTTTTATTCTAAAGAGGATGATTTTTAAATGATACACTTTAATTTCGCTATTTCCAAATTATCTCCCCCTTGGAAGAGGTTTTGTTTCTTCATTTGCATTAAACTTGAAATTAATTTCAAAATAAATTGTTTTGTATCAAGTTTGGTTGAAATTGGTCCAATGGTTCTGGGAAAAAAGTCGAAAATGGTTAAAACTAATAGGTGACAGTGAGACGACTGGCAAATATTGATCAGAAAAGCTCACCTGAGTGTTTGGCTCAGGTGAGGGAATAAAAGAATATAATTGTTTAGCCCAAAAAAAATTGATCAATAGTTTCTCAGGCACCGCCGCATTAGGTCAAAAACTGCCACATTGATCAATTTTATTGACGTATTGAAAAGGGAAATAACTCAATTTTCTATTTTTCCAAGTTGAAAAAGAAAATCGAGTTATTCCCCTGTCATAAATGCTAATAGATAGATGTTTTTATTAGAAAAACA